AAATTTTATTGTTATTTTTTAATGTATCTTACATGGTTTCACAAGAAGTTCTGCATAGATTTTCTTTTTTAGATTTACTCATGAATGCTTTACAACGCTTCTGTTGTTACTTTAATAGTACATTTAGCAAAATAATTTCTGTTAGTTGTTCATCTTTAACAACATAAAAGCATTTTCAAATTAATGCTACACTGTTGTACTGATATGATTCTTACTACATGACCTCTAAACTATTTTTATTTCCTATGCGGGTAAGCATTTCATCAAGCCCTTATTATTTTAATCTCCCGTGAGTTTTGTAATTCCTTAGTCCTTGTCACTTTAATTTCTATGAATCTTTAAATATATTTTATTTGTTATTTTTATTTTGTGTATATGAGTGTATTGCCTGCATGTATGTAAGTGCACCCATGTTGTGCAATGCCTGCAGAGGTTAGAAGAGGGCATTGGATCCCCTGGAACTGGAGTTATAGATGGTTGTAAGCTGTCATGTGGGTGCTGGGAATAGAACCTGAGTCTTCTGCAAGAGTAGTCAGTGCTCTTAACCACTGAGCCATCTCTCCAGCTCCTCTGAGGATTTTTAAATGTGCTAAATTATCACTAAAATGAAATTGAAAATAGGTGATATCGAAAGCATTATTTTTCATGATTTCACAAAAGTTACTGGCATACTAGGTTTGGAGCACGGTTTTCTTAAGTCCTACTCTATAAGCTGAGGGTCCTTTCTATCTTGGGACAGTACTGAGCCATAACCAGGCATTTCCTTCTTCATCTGATCACTATCTTTCTCTTTCTTGCCTATTTATATAAAATTGCTTTGCCAGATTTTTCTTCCAAGAGAAAATTACTTCTATATTCAGGGTCTGTTTGATTTGTTTAGTTACTGTTTTAGGATTATACAAGCCTGTTCACAGATGAGATGCCCTTCTTTTCTTTCTTTATACCCTTGGTATTTATGTCCTATTTGCCATAAGTCTTGGTAAACTCTCTTTATCTTGATCTGTTTTACTGTGGTTTTGTGTACTTTATTAGTCAATATAAAATAATAATTTTTGCTTTGAAGACTAATGTTTTAGATAAAAAATTGTTCTCTATGAAGCTTTTCATTATGACACTAATTCAGAGAACAGGCATGTATGTTCTACATTACTTAAAAAGTCTCTGTGTGTGTGTGTGTGTGTGTGTGTGTATGTGTGTGTGTGTTTACACCCACTTGTGTCTGTGGGTGCATGTGAATGTGTGGACATGTGCATTTGGCAGCCAGAAGTCAATGTTAGGTGTCCTCCTCAATCATTCTCCACCTTATGTTTTTATACATAAGGTCTCTCATGGAACTGGGAACACAATGATTGGCTGAACTAGCTAGAAAGTAAGCCCCAAGATTCCTCCTGTCTCTGTCTCCCCAGCACTAGGATTACAGGCATGTTCTCCCACACCTTGCTTTTTATGTGGGTTCTGAAGCCTGAGCTCAGGTCCTCATACTTGCACAGCAAGCACTTTAATGAATGAGTCTTCTCAGTTCATCAAAAAGCCTTTTAACTTTTGGACATCTAAATATTTTCATGCTGATATCTGAAGAATATCTTAAAGTACAAGCTGATCCTAAAACACAAGCTGCTGAACAAGGTGGCACATGCCTTTTATCCTAGCACTTGGGAGGCCAGAGGCAGGTGGATGTCTATGAAATTGAGGCCAGCCTGGTTTACACATCAGGTTCCTGGCTTGCTGGGGTTACATGCAGATCCTGTGTCAACAAATAAATGAGCAAAAACTAAAACACAAGCTGACATCTCATATATACAGTTACATATATACATGGTAGATGGTTAATTATTCTATTAGCTTATTTCTTGAGTTACTATGTATTTATAGATCAAAGTTGTGTTTTCATGAGTATATTGACAGTCAGCATTAGTTGTAGCGATTCTGCCTTCTTACCTGTGTCTATTATTTTTCCTTAAAGACCACAAGCTTATAATTATTAACATTGTCTAAGTAAATAATTTTCTAATGCTATTTATTAATAAATACTTTAAAAAAAAATAATGTTTTTAGAACAGGGCTAAGTTTTCAGAGAAATGGCAGAGATTCTATAGAGTTCATGCTGTCCATGCTTGATTTTCCTTATTAATGTTTTAGATTGGTATAGAAATTTGTCACAAATAATGAGCCAGTGTTGGTACCTTGTTATAAAACTATATATTTTAATAAGCAGTGGCTTCTAGGGAGAGCAGGACCCCCTATGAGAGGATATGCTTATCTCCCTTCTAAACTGTAATAAGTTTCCATATGGCTTTTTCGTAGATCCCTCACTTTGGTAACACTCCCTTCCTGCCTCCATTTCCCCAAAACCCTTACTCCCATCCTTATTTGAAACTTTCTACCCCAGTACTCCTCCTTTCTACTTTTTATCACCTATGTTCTATTGACCATCTCCCTTATAGGCTTTTCAGCTTTTAAAAATTGCATTTATTTGTGGGAGAGGTCACAAGCATGTCACAGCACAGGAGTAGAGGCCGAAGGACAACTTATCAGAGTCCATTTTCTTCCTCTATGTGGGGCCTGGGAATTGAACTGAGATTATAGGTGCTGGTGGAAGTGTCACTGAACCATTCCACTGGCCAAGGAGATACAAGTTTGATGGGGATTTCACTGAATCTACAGGTTGCTCTTGGTAAGATGATCATTTTTAAAATATTGATTTTGCCCATCCGTGAACATGGAAGGTCTATCCTTAGTGTTTTTAAGTTTTCATTGTACAGACCTTTTGTTTCCTTGGTTAAGTTTATTCCAAGGATATTTTTAAGCTATTATGAATGGGATTATTTCCCCAATTTCTTTCTCAGGATGTGTCACTGGTATGACAGGAAGGCTACTGAGTTTCTTATGTTAATTTTATCCCACTGCTTTGCTGAAAGTGTTTATATTCTGTTCAAGTTTTCTGGCGGCGTCTTGAGTGTCTTTTGTGCACAGAATTATATCTTTTATGGGATACTTCCTTACAAGTTGTTGGTCGGGAAGACATCAAAGTTCCTCCAAACAATATCAGCTACTGTCATTCCACTTGGTTGCCCCCCAAAACTAGATGATATGACCCTCTTCCTGAAGACACCACACAGTTTGGTTGCAAGATAAAAAGAAATCAAGCTGGAACTGATCTGAAAGCTTCCTCCTTTCTGGCTGGCTTTTATAGTGCTAAAATTACTATGCAGGAGAGTGGAGGAGAAAAGACATCAGTGGTCTTACCTGGCTCTCAATCTTACAAACTACAATGCCAGTTTTTGTAGTAAGAGGTGCTCATTGGTACAGTAGTGTGACAAGGGTTATGAAGGTGACCAACTGCTCTCAGATTGGATTTGAGGCCTCCTCCATGGGAAGGAATATATGCTTGGTACTGTAAACTCAGTTAAAAAACAAACAAACAAAAAAACATGGTTGAGGAGATCATAGACCCTGCTAAATTAACATGGCACAAAACTGCATAGACTTATTGCTGTCCAAGATACTGAGAATAAATGAGGGTTAAGTTCTTAGTGCTACACAAGACATCTATAGCACCAGCTCTAAGGCACAGGGCACATTGCCGGGGAGGGAGCAGAAAGAATGTAAGAGCTGAAAGACAGGGAGAAGGGCTGGGAAATGCCATCTTCAGGGCATGACACAGCCATTGCAATCAGGAACTCACAGCAGCCCTGACTGTCTGCCCTGGGCCTGTGCAACTTGGGCCAGTTGACAGCCAATCATGGATTGAGGGGGGGCATGCGTTCCTACCCCTCCCTGCTGAACTTTTGATAACAGGTGAATTTTAGAAAGATAGTCATTGTTACCAGGTGTCTGCCAAATGGGAAGCTCACCAGTCTTCAACGGATAATTCAAAGCCCATGACTACACAGAAGGTCCTGGTTAAAATCATAAAACAAAAAGCATGGTTTGGGAAAGCACCCGTAGGGAAGAGGAGGGAGGATCAGAGGGTGGAAGGGAGAGAAAAGGTGAGGGTAAGAATAAACAGAATGTGTTGTATACCTGTATGAAACTGTCAAAGAACAAATTTAATCAATAAGAGCGCACATGCTTCGTGCCAGTTTCTTATTTTAAATTCGATGCCCTGCTTATGTTCCATTATCCAATCCTGACTGCCTTGTTACCTTTACTTGTCAAGTCTCTTCATCCTCCTTTTAGTATTGACTGTTGACTATTACTTCAGTGTAATAGAAATTACAAGTAGCTCAAAATCAGAACATTAGGGAAGTTGGTTGTGCTGTTCTTCTGGCATGAGATCTGCTGCCATAAGGGGAAGTCACATGGGTATTGTTTACAAAATGAAAGACGAAAGAGCAGATGGTTCTGAAATACCCCCACATCATACATGAAAGACTTGTGCACAGGCAGATGATTACTTAAGCCTGATGTATGGTGGGTCATCATGGAATCATTGTATATGCATTTCCTGCATTCATATGTATTCATGTACATATGTATGTTTACGTATGCTTTGAGTATGTTCACCAAAGATAGTTCTACATGGTTTCAAACTACACAGTACAGAATACTTGATTTCATTCAAATGAGCAACAGCTTATGCATAGGTTGACTGCAGCACTTATTGAATTTTTACTCTATTTAATTTCAGAGATCGAGGGCATTTTTTTTAATTTAAGGTTTTTTGGGAATTTCACACATGAAAACCATGACATTTTTTGTTGTTGTTTTTTATTGCCAGCTGATACAGTCCCACAATTTATTTCTCAAAACTCTGTGCTGTGTCTTAGCACAAAAATCATCATTTTCAAGACCTAAAATGTAATTAGAACCTGATACTTATCCACTGACAGTGCCTAAACCTCATTCAGTAAAAAAGTCAAAAGTGATAAAACGGATGTTCTGTGGTTGAGCAATGCTTCTTTCACAGGAAGATGAGAACGACCTAATAACATCAATCTCAGGAATCAAAATTACCCTAACATCTCTACTCTTAGTTCCAAATCAGTTGCTGAGGACAAGGACTCTTTTTCTAGATGAGCAGAAGGTTTTTTATTCGCAAGAAACAGGATCTCCCTTCTCTGCTCAGGTCTGTGTGGGTGTGTACGCACGTGAGTATTTCTAACAACTGTTTTTCAGGAAATGGGGAGCTATCTTTCAAGTTAAGAAAGTTCTAGAACTATTTACATTGTAGGGTAATTCTAAAGTGTTTGGGCAGAATTTCTAAAGGCAAGGCATACTTGCCTCATCTGAGATATTAATATATTATCTCTATGTATAAGGATACATTATCAGGATATACTTGCTGAGGAGTTAGAATTCACGGTGTTGCTAAAATAAGAAGCCCTGTGTCTAAGCAAAACTAGAATGAATCTTTCCTTTGGGAATTAGAAGGCTGGAGTTTGGATGATAATTCTTACACACATGTACTACTCTTGTGGGAGATTCCTTACCTTCTAGGATACACAGTTTTATATTCACGAAGAAACAAGTCAGATCCGTTTCTTCCAATTATCACAGTTAAATATAAATAGCTTTCGTTTTTAAAATCAAAGCATTATATTTACCAAATAGCTAATTTTTCCAGGAGTATTACTTGGCTACATAACATGTTATAATATAAACATGAAATTGTTGATGATTATAATATTTATTGATGATGATGTTAATACATACATTTTGTTATAATAAGAAAAACATTCAAAAGAAGTTCATGTAAGATATATGAGAAATTCGTTTATATATAATACATCATTTACATAAAAATCCACTTAAAATGTATTTATATAAAATACATTTATTTGTATAAAATATCTTAATAAATGAATTTAAAATGAATTTATCTTATACAGAAATTGTCTATCACCAAGTAAACAAGCAGAAATGAAAATTGTGCTGTTATTCAATATCAATAATGTCAAATGTTTTTTATTACTTATTTCAATGTAAGCAATTAAAAACAAAAAGTCTATATTCATGGTATTTTGAAACAGTTGGTTTTTATCTTTCAATCAAATCAAAAGTGTAATTAATTTTACTTGGCCTTATGTGAGCTGTTATTTCCATTCTTTCATTTTCTAAAAGAAGAATCGGGAAATTTTCTGTATTTCACTTGTCCAATTAAAATATTTCAAGTCACCACAAAGACATTGGGAAAATTCCCCATACATTCCACCTTATTTATTCAGGAATGGTACATGCACCGCAGAGTTGAGGCTCATTTCTGGAGTAAACGTGCCATCATCATCACGCAATGGTGTTGATACGCGATCGGAGGTCTCAGCACAGCTCTGGTATGTACCTTTCACATGAACAGGTTAGTGTGCTGCTGTAAATTTTGAAGGTGCCCAAATTTATACAATACACAACTCACAGAAAAGCAGCTAATTGCCATTTTCTTTAAATTCATTTAATGTTATATCTATATTATATTTTAAATCAATTTTTTTAAAACTTGAAGATTTATTTTTCCTTTTATTTCACCCACTACCTATTTCAAAGTCATTTGTAACACTAGGTAGTTTGCCATACTGGAATGGCTTGAGAACGTATAGTCCGAGGAACCAGATTTTCTCAAACATTTACAATTTTCCAACCCTGAATTGGAGGTGGCCTGTGAACTCTCTGCACTTTCCTTTCCTTTTCCAGCGATAGAGAAATAAAGCATTCCCTTAGAGCAATTCTAGAATAAGTAAAATACGGGACATATAGTTGGAAGGTGCTGTTTATTATAAAAGTGTTATAAATTATTCCGTTGATAACATTATGTTAAATGAGCAATATTATTTGACAAATATTCAATTTCTTCATCCAAAATTAACAATCTATACAATTTTCATATAATATTGAAATTATATGAAAACGATGTTCCTGACTAATATTTTGGTGTTAAAGATAGTTAATATCTCTCCCCTTATAAAAGTGTAAGGCAATTAACAATCTATACAATTTTCATATAATATTGAAATTATATGAAAACGATATTCCCGACTAATATTTTGGTGTTAAAGATAGTTAATATCTTCCCTTATAAAAGTGTAAGGCATTTCTGAACTGGGAAGATGGCTCAGTGGTTAAGAACACTGGTTGTTCTTGCAGAAGACCTAGGTTTGAATCCCAGCACCCACATGGTGCCTAACAACCATGTAACTCCAGTTCCAGGGGATCTGACACCCTCTTCTGTCCTCTGTGGGCCCTGCACAACATGGATGTACTTACACACATTCGGCATAACACTCATGCACATAAAATAAAAATAAATAAATAGTATAAGGCATTTCATTCATAAAAGCATTCAGTGAATGGTTGAAATATCAAGAGAACAGCAAAACAATTGTGCTCAAAGACTATTTTTTCTGAAACCTTAGAGTTTACCATTTTTGTTTTTATATGTTCTTGACTCTAAAGGAAATTTGACACACTAATATTTAATGTTTATATGCAGTTGGCATTGTTGATACTGTTTATTACATTTATCTACTAATTTTTTATGATATCCCCTAGTATATTGTGTTGATACCTTTTATGTGTGCTTTGTTTTCTCTTCTACAAGGTAGGCAACTGAATACAAAATTTTAAATTATTTCTGATTATTAGTAGTATATCAGGATCTGTGATATAAATATGTATCTCCTTGTACCCTTGTTTCTTTCCATTATAGAGTTCACTATACATCATGAATTAATTCATTTTAAATGTCCATAATATTTTGCTAACTTTCCAAGGATGAACATGGTTATACATACATAACAAAGTGTAAACATCATGATAATGAAGTCATATAATGCAAAAGTAAATCTATGTTGCATTTTTAAAAGGATGTTCATGGGGAAAAAATTCATAGGAACACAAATTGAATTTAAACATATTTTTTCTTCAAATAAAAGAAAGTCCATGATTCGTATTGGTTTGAATTGTTTTCTCCAGAAATGCACGAATGCCACAATTACAACGTTAAATCAATAAACTGGAATGCTTGTAAACAATGGCAAAAACAAAGGCCTGCACTAATTGCAAGCCAAAACCAAGAAAGTGGTAAGTTTTTTTTCGCTTTTGTCTTCTCTTGATGTATGGGGTGGATGTGGAAATCATGTGATTCTATCCATCAGTGACAACCATTGACGTTCTTACTTCTATGAGGGAAGCAAAAGTCATTTCTACTCTAACAGAATGCTGGAATGTATGAATAAGTAAAATGTTGAAATTTTTTACTATAATAAGGAAAATTGAACCAGAAGATTTTGAGGGGGCCTCCAAGTAACTTCCTCTAAGGAAGAATAAATAGAAATAGAACATAGAAGTCTTAAAAATTATCAAACTTTGTTCTTTTTTCTTTTAAGACAGTGTCTCAGCTATATGCACAGCTGGACTGAAACTTGCTATGTAGACTGGCCTCAGTCTCACAGAGATCTGTCCACCTCTGCCTCCTGAGTGCTGCGATTAAAGGCCTATGCCACTATGTCAAGATATGCAACTAAATTCCTAAACATTATAAAAGTAATAAATTGCTGTTGTTTACAGAGATATTTCTGACTATAGTGAAGACAATCTATATAAACTATTTTCAAGCCAGATTAGTGTTGATATTAGAACTTGTGATAGTTTATACAAAGAGGAAAAACAGAGCATGGTACAGTAACACATAATAGTAATTGCAGTAGTGTGTAGATGGAGACAGGAGGATCAGAGTTCAAGGTTATCCTCAGTAGAATAGAGCTCTCAAGGACAGCTTGAGTTATATAAGACATTTTCTCTAAAAATGAAATAAAATATTTTTAAAAGCCAACATACAACCTTCACCTCTAAATTTTGATTAAACACCAAGAAATAAATTATTAACAAAAAGCATTTCAGATGAGATAATATTAGGAATGCAACCATGCGTATGTAGAAACCAAAGGTTACTGAGTCCATGATTGCGTACATAACGTTGAAAAGGCATTGGATGAAAGTCAATACAAAATCTTCAAAATTTATAAATATAAATGTTGTTCCATACAAATATTTAAGCTTATATACACATAAAATATATATATTATTATGCTATTAAAATTACTCTGACAAAATATTGATTGCTTTGCTGTTGCTAAAGATTATCCAGGAAGAGGCAAAATGTGATTGCTGTCAAAGCAGAATTAAAAGGCAAAAGTGATATACTTGAAAAAGTAGAAATAAAAGTATTTGAAAGGCAACAAATGTACATTCTCTAAAGAATAAAGGTAGTACTAAAATTTGATCTATAGACTTCATTAAAAATTAAGACAGAAAGGAAAATTGATTTCTTCCCTAACTAAAAGAATAATGATGGACCTGGTTGGGTTTGCTTTTAATGTCCGCACGTAGGAGGCAGAGGGAGGCAGGCAAATCTCTGTGAGATCGAGACCAGCCTTGTCTACATAGTGAGTTCCAGGTAGGCTGGGGTCTACAAGAGACCCACTCAAAAATAAATAAATAAATAAATTAATTAATTAATTAATAACACTCAAAGAATAAAGAAACTGCGATAAAAGAAAACGCCAATAAATAAAAAGATAAAAATAAACCATTTTATTACAAAACCTAGAACTGACATTATTACTTCAGATTACTAATCAATAAGGAATGAAGCATGCAGAATGGAAGAGGAAACTACCCACGCCTAAAAGGCAATGTCTTTCAGATAGAATCTTTGTATACCTACATATTTAATACGACACCAGTGGAAGGTGAATACTTCATAGTTCAGAAGTGTTTTCGTCTTAAAAAGTTCATTTTAAAGTTTTTCTTTAAGAACTGTTTTTACTTTTATTTGTGTGTGCATGCATGTCTGTATGAATGTATGCTATATGTGTGTGGTACAGAGGTCAGGAGAGGGTGTCAGATCCCCTGAAGGTAGAGGTACAGGTGTTTGGGAATCATTTGACATGGGTGCTGGGAATCGAACCTGGGTCCTAGGCAAGATGAGACAGTGCTCTTAACCACTGAGCCATCTCTCTAGCCCTGCATTTTTAAAGTTTTTAAGGCACACATAGAGTGCAATTGGAGTCATATTCTCCTGGAAAGAAATACAATATAATAGTATATGCACTATCAAATATTCAACCATTTCATGAAGCTTGGGGAGTGGCACATACAGTGATTGTGATTCATCATATGTATGAATAAATGTTCATACATACAGGGATGTCATCCGCTAACAACAACATTTCATACAGTAGAAAAGAAATATGTTCATTCAAAGAGCAGTGCTACAAAAATTCAGTGTTCATTTAACACACATTAAATGGACCAAATAAAATAGTGACGTTTTTACTAATGTATTTTTATTCATATCAAAAAAATGTAAGGCATAAAAGGAAGTTTGACCAAGTAATCCCGAGACTAACAAGCCACTTCATTCCATCAAGACTACCATAAATAAAATAGAAGTAATATCGGAAACACATATATGTAAAACATACGACAAGGTATGGTGTTATGTACACAACCTAAAAAGTACAGAGCAAACCAGTAGCTAAATAGAAACAACAGTCTCGTAGAACTAAAAAGCATAATTTAAATATAAGTGAAAGCTCCTACATCTAATTTATAGCAGGAAATATAAAATTAAAATTAAAATATTACCAACAAGATTTATACATTAAAACATGTAGGAGCTGGAGAGATAGTTTAGTCGTTAAGAGCACTTGACGCTCCTGCAGAAGACCTAAGTTCAGTTCCCAGGACCTACATTGTGTCTAACAACCATCAGTATCTCCAGTTCCAGGGGATCCAAAGTTGTCTTCTGGACCCTGAGGCATTGCACTCATACACATACAGACCAAACACTCATACACATAAAATAAAAATAAAAAAATCTTTTTAAACAACATACAAACATACAAATAATATTTCTTTCTGAGGAGGATGCAGCCAAACATTTATTTGTGCTACTATTTAGATTAGTGTAACTTTTGTGGACTGAAAATTTCAATCATTACATTACGGTTAGCATGCATGTGCCCTTTGATACACTAATTATCATAACAGGGATTAGAGTTTGCAAAAACATACACAAATTTTTAAGAAAGATTGTTTTTCCTAACACCAAAAACTAGCATCAAATGTAAACATCCACTGTAAAAATTAAAAGTTCATTGTCACAGTTCAGTGACAATTCAAGCCTGATGGGCTTGGGGATCCCGGGGTATAGGTGCAGTCTCAAGCCTGATGGGCTCCAATTCAAGCCTGATGGACTTGAAATCAGGACACAGGGGATGCAGAGGTTTGTGTGCCGGTGCATGTTTATTATGAACTTAAGAAAGCTTATATAGAAAGCATATCTGGAGTAACCAAGGAATAACCAAGGATACGTTACTTTACCAACTGAAACTCACACAATGTTACAGTATCTTAGATTCAGCTACATAATGTTTATAATATCTTAGATATAAGGTGTACTGTTTGTGATTACTCTTAGCAACTACTAAAATTTATTATTTCTATATAGAAACCAAGCTTACAGTGCTGAGAAACTCCTGTGCCCATAAACTGAAATGGAACTCTTTAGTTATGTTTCCTAGACTACTATTAATCAGGGAAACATTAGTCCATTAACTCAGACCACAGAAGCAGAGAGCAGGGAAAGTCCCAGGGTGGAAGCATTCTTTCTCCAATTCTTGATCTTCCAAGAATATCTGGTATCCTCTGCCAAGCTTCAGGTCATGAATTAATCAGGCCTTGACAGTTCATTAATATCTTTTGTGCAAGTATCAATGCAACGAGTATTTATACAAATTTGAACTCTTTATATGTCATGATATGACATAATCACCAGGATACTGACCAAGTGAAAACTAATTCACACAATATTTTGCATAATTTCTTAAATGCATGTTTTGAAGACATTAATAAGAAAAGTATCTACATACACCTCTTCCTAAAAAATTAAGTTGATAAATGTGATTTATTCTAGGGGATATCTGTAGAGCTGGGAGTGGTGGCACACATCTGTAATCCCAGTACTCAGGATGCTGAGGTGGGAAGATTGAGAGCTCATATTCAGGAGGGACTACATAATGAAACTGTGTCAAAATGTCAATAAAAAGAAATTCTTAGAGAACTTGTAGATAGTTATAACAGGAAGTATTACATTTTTATACTTTTGGGGGGTCTTTTTTGAGACAGAGTCTTCCTGAAGCAACAGCTGGCCTGGAACTCACTATGTAGACCAGTCTAGCCTGAATCTGGCAGATATGCCTGCCTCTGCCTCCCAAGTGCTGGGATTAAAGGCGTGTGCCACCACATCCAGCTATACTCTTATTTTTTAAATCATTTATAACATACTTATGCTGCTTGGTCTGAGAAAAACAAAGGAGAAAAAGCACTTCCACGACCTTCTCAGAAAAAGCCAACATCATGGGGTCAGAGAAGCAGCTCAGAAGCCAAGAGCACTGGCTGCTCCTGAAGACGATCTGGACTTGTTTCCCAGCCGGCACCCACAAGTGTCTAACAATCACCTGTATATTCAGTTCTAGGGGATGTGACACCCTCTCCCTGCCTCTATGGGCACTGCAAACACATGATGCACTTACATACCTGCAGGCAAAATGCTCATACACATAAAAAATACAAATAATTTGCCATTAAAAATAATTTTTAAAAGTACACCAATGAATTTTTTGAGAATTTCACAGGAGTATTGTCTTTTCATTATCTCCACCCCTTCCCAGTCCCCCACAAACTCCTCCCATGTCACCTCATTCAGTCAATTTAGTATCCTTTTTAAATCCTATTACATACACATACATATATTTATAAATAAATATATATGTGTATATAAAACACATTGAGTCCATTTAGTGTACCTGTGTTTAGGGCTGCCCACCTGAGATTAATAACTTCTGAGGAAGCTAGTCCATGAAGAAAATATATTCTCCTTCCCTCAGCATCTCTCAGCCTGAGGTGAGACCCAGTGACATTTCCCCATCCACCTCGGTGTGTCACTGGTTCTGTCATTTTGTAGTGCTTACTAGGCTACCATACTGTGGAGGCTTCATTGGTGAAGCTCCCTTATCATGTGGAAAATGTGGAAGGTGTCTTGTCCCTCTGGCTCTTACATTATTTCCAACCCCTCTTCTTCCACGGTCCCTAAGCCTTAGGTGTAGAAGTGGCATTGTTACTGTGTCACTTAGGCCTGGTCACCTCAAGTGACTTATTCTCTGCATTTGACCAGTTGGGGAGCTCTGTGTTAGTCTCCATATGTTGCAGAAAGAAGCTTCTTTGACGAATGCTGGCCCACTAAATTGTCACCTTCCCGCTCTCTGTTTGATCCGCCCTCATTTTTTTCAGGGTCTCTAGCTCAGGGCACTATTGGACAAACCACAGAACATATTTTATCTATTTCATTTTATATCTTGGGTAGGAATGGGGGAAATGGAACTTACAAAGAAACGAACACCCCACACCCAGCACCCAACTCTGCATGGCTTGGCCCAGCCCGCCATTCCAGATCACTTCCACTCCCGCCCACAGTCTCCCTCAACTTTTGTCCATGCATCTTGGGCCTGCAGTCTCACCCCAGGCTGGTAAATGTTCCCTCTCCCATCCACATGGGTGAAATGCCTGAGCCATCTTTCTCTCCACACCCATGCCGCCTAAGCCTGGGCTTTCGAACCAAGATGGTGCCCAGAGACCCCCTCCCTAAGTGGCTAACTCTCGGCAGTCAATTCTCCACAGCAGGCCCTGCCCCTTGGAGGAACCAGGCCCCTGGGACACAAGTGCTGAGTGGTACACTTGACAGTAAATACAAAGATATGTAGTTAGACTACAGTAAGAAATGATGCTGCTCTAGGGATGTGACAGAAGTAGGTTTTTCCCTAGGGTCTATGACCTCTCCAGCCATGTGTACTTGGCTATGTTGGCAGTATCACACATGAGGTCCCTCCCACTGAGTGGGCCTTGGACACCAATATTTATGTTAAACACAAAAATACCCCAGACCTTTAGCCTTCCTTTTATTCTTTTTCTTCTTTGACAGTATCTCCGTTGTTTGTTGGCCAAGTCATTGCTGCAGCCATGGCGATACGTTTCATTGTTATGACGTCAATATGGTTTACCATATTCTTTACCTGTAAGTGATAATCCAGAAATAGATTGCAACATTGTTGGTTGAACAAGTACAATGCATTGCTCTTGAGTTCAAAAGCACATTGTGGGGTGGGGGGAGATGGCTCAGCAGGTGAAGTGCTTGCTCCATAAGCTTGACATCCTGAGAGTTCAATTTCCAGAACCCACATAAAGGTGGAAGGAGAGAACCAACTCCACAAAATTGTCTTCTGACTTCCACATACACGCATGGCACATGAGTGCCTATGTGCACACGCACACACACACACACGCACACACAATATTTTAATAGAAAAAGATAATTCAGCCTGGTGTGGTGGTACACGCCTTTAATCCCAGCACTCAGAAGGCAGAGGCAGGTGGATCTCTGTGAGTTCAAGGCCAGCCTGATCTACATAGTCAGTTCCAGGACAGCTGGGGCTACAGGGAGACCTTGTCTCAAAAAGACAAAAAAAAAAAAGATAATTCAATAGCAATATTGAATGTGTTTGTATAGGTTTTGACTATTCTATAAATTCATTTACTTTTCTTTGGATTATGTTATTACTAATAATAATCTTTTTAATAATTATAATTTTTAATAGTATTATTCAACCAAGAAGTTCCAGTTTCCTCAATGGGTGAGTAAATTTCTAAAATATTAAGCATAAATTGAACACAGCTATGTGTACTGGGGTATACTTTATATCCAAAAACATTCATAAGGGAGGAATGAAATAGTTGGGTTTTTATCTATATTTCACTATTGCGTTATGCCTTTTGGCTATTAAGGAGAATGTCTAAAGAGTAAGAGAGCTGGGCAGGATGTTTCACTCATTCAGTTTGGAGACTTGGGAGGCTGAGGCAGAAGGATCAGAGTTCATATCCAAACTCAGCTACATAGAATTCAAACCCACAATGGGTTACATGAGGCTCTGTCAGAAAAAATTAAAACAAAAACACTCAAAAGAGTAGAAAATACTTAATTTGGGGATCTTCCTCTCTTTGTGCAGATTCATCTTTGGGTATGATTATAATAGTTTAATTATTTGGAATTCTGGAGTTGGAGCAAGAAAGGCATTTACCTCGCCTAGATAAAATCTGTTCCAATGGTCAAGTGTATATATAATTAATATGTCTTATCTTTCTAGAAGGTTATTGTGGTCCATGTCCTAAAAACTGGATATGTTATAGAAACACCTGCTACCAATTTTTCAGTGAGAGCAAAAACTGGTCTCAGAGCCAAGCTTCATGTATGTCTCAAAATTCCAGCCTTCTGAAGATATACAGTAAAGAGGACCAGGTTGAGTATTTAAATACATTTAATTCTAATGTATGAGGAAACTCACTGGAACATGAACCAAGATACCCACTCCTGATCTTACATATAAACATTAAGAGAAAGTGGGGCTTGGAAATGCTCCCTGAGTAAAAGTACTTTGTCCTAGAAGCTTGAGATAATGGAGTTTTACTCTCTAGCACCCACAGAAAAAAAAAAACTGGGTATTGCTGCGCATGCCTTTAAACCCAGCATTCGGGTCAGAGACAGCTGGATCCCAAGATTTCTTTGTTGGGGCTGCCTATCTGAAGATGTGAGCTTCCAGTCCAGTGAGGGACATGGTATCAAGGCAAAAAGGCAGAGGGCAATAGAAAAAGACACCTGTATCTTGTTCTGGCCCCTGCATGAGGTGTGAGCACCTGTACACTCATGTGCATACACACCACTACCACCTCCCAGAAGGACAGTAAAATTTAGAAAGGAAAGAAGCTTTAGATATTATGTACACATGATTAAGTGGGAATTGTGCCAGCCAAGGGACAAATGCATTCTTTCCCAAGAGGGAAGCAAGGGATTATGGCTTTGCTTTGGCTAACATTCTTAGCACTGGTTTTCTCTGTACTTTACTTGTGGTTTCAAACAGGATTTTTTTAAACTGGTGAAGTCATATCACTGGATGGGACTAATCCAGATTCCAGCAAATGGCTCCTGGCAGTGGGAAGATGGCACCGCTCTCTCGCCCAACCAGTGAGTCTTGCCCCTATGAGCACTCATTTCTTACAGTTTATCTTCTCCAATCTGGGGAACTCCCACATTCTAATCTAGTTAGAAAAATACTTAGGTCCTAAATCTAAAGAGCAGGGCTGGAGACCAGAGCACCCAACATGATTATTAATGAGTAACATAAGTTGATTATGTGCAAAATACCAAGAAAGGTAGATCTAATATTATGCCCATATTATAGATAGGAGACTGAGTGTCATATATTCTTCTGTGTATTCATGACTATAATTATGGAGATAAACCTGACATACTTGCACATAGATAAAGTACACAGCTTGGGAAGTTTTAAAAAATGTTTATACTCAGCCAGGTGTGGTGGTGCATGCCTTTAGTCCCAGTCCAGTCTCTGGAAGCAGAGGCAGGTGGATCTCTGTGAGTTTGAGGCCAGCCTGGTCTACATAGTTCCAGGAGCTACAGGGAGAGGCTGTCTCAAAAAGGCCCCCCAAAATTGTATATGCTTATGAAATTCTTAATAATAATGAAGTAGTTGACATGTCCATTATTGGCAAAATTTTTTCTTGAGTCTTGGAGTCTTTTCTTTATTCCTATGCCCTTCTCTCTGTTCCTCACCAACTAATCTCTTTTCTCTGGATACAGGTTAGTTGCAACCAAAAGTATTTAATACCATCTGAGTTCTTCAATTTACATTGGTTTTATATCTGTATTTCTTCAACCTATCATAATGACCCAGGTTTTGTTCTTAGGATCCACAATGGGCATCTCACAACCAAACCACTTGTAACTCTAGCTTCAGGAATCCAAAACCCTCTTCTGTCTTCTGCAGGAACCTCCATATACATAAATGTACTTACAAACAGAAACACATACACATGAGTAAAAAATAAGATAAATCTTTAAGATATATCTATCTATACATATAATAGATATAGAAATCACTTGACAACATCCTTCACTTATTGAAGTACTCTGTTTGTATTTCTATTCAAAATAGTTTTTTAACTTTATTTTTATGTGTATGAGTGTATTGCCTGCATGTATATAAATGCACCCATTTCATGGACTTCCCACGGAGGACAGAAGAGGTTGTCGAATCCTTTGGAACTGGAGTTATGGATGGTCGTTAGCCACTATGTGGGTGTTGGGATTTGAACCTGGGTATTCTGCAAGAACAGTCAGTGCTCTTAACCACTGAGCCATTATTCTAGCCCCTTCAAAATAGTTTATAAAACTCCCTCTTTCATTTTTCTTCAGTACAAGTTATTTCTTTTAGAACTATGTTGTTTAGTTGCTAATATTTAGAAATCTTCTGAGATCTTCTGATGACTGATTTATTATCGATTTCTAACCAACTTCATGCCTTCATTCCTTTGGTTTTGTGGAGTGTTCATTTGTTTTGCTTTATTAGTTTTTTGTTGTTTTGTTGTTTTGTTTGTTTGTTTGTTGTTAGTTTGTTTGAGACAGGGTCTTTCTGTAGCCTCAGCTGACCTGGAACTCTCCATATAGACCAGGCTGGTCTCACTCCCAAAGAGATTCTCCTGCTTCTGTCACCCCAGTGCTGGCATTAAATGTGTATGCCACCATGCCTGGCAGTGGACTTTTCCTTATGGAAACTTACTTATAGCTTCAATCTCACTGTTTATAATGAGTCTGTTTAAATTATGTATATCTTCTTTCTTTAATTTTAATAGGTCTTATGCATTTAGAAATCTATCCATTTCTTTTAGGTTTTCCAGCTTTGGGTAATATAAATGTTCAAAATCTCCCCTAATAAACTTTCAGGTTGCATTGAACAACTCCATTTTTGTTGTTAATTTTATTAACTTGGGCCCTGTCTCTTTTTTGTTAGCTTGACTAGGAGTTTGTCAGTCTTGCTGATCTTTTCATAATACCAATTCTTTGATTCTCTGTGTTGTTCTTCCAGTCTCTATTTCATTCATTTATACCCTAATCTTATTTATTTCTTGCAATGTGATGAGTTTGGGGCTGTTCTCTTGTTTTTCTAGAGCTTTAAAGTGAATCATTAGGTGATGCATTTGCGATTGCTCTGATTTTTTTAGATGTATTTATGGCTATCTTGAATCTTTCCTCTTAGGAGTGCCTTAGCTGCATCCCAGAGGACTGAGTAGGGTGCGCTTCCCTTCCCCTTTGAGCCCTTCCACCGCAATGTCTTCTCTGCCTTCATCGTCCAGTTACTTTTAAATATGTGATACCTAGTGTTCACTGTAGTCACCCTACTGTACAAAGGATCAGCAGAGAGAGTGACGAGGAATGTTTTGTGCTTATTTGACATTTGGAAATTTTGATCAATATGCAGTATATTCAGTGCATAGCTCTCAGATATGTACAATTACAGTGTCAACAAACAATTTAAAGTTAAGATAAACAATCTAATGTGCTTCCATTGAAACCCACAAAGAGATATGCTGAAAATCTCTGAAAAACCTGTTTCATTTTCCCTGCAAGTACCAGCCAATTGTATGTCTGTGTCTTGTCCTTTTAAATGCATAGAGCATTAGACCACTGTCTTTTTAGTTTTTACATTTCATACTGAGAGTGACATCATCATTTTTTGAGTATTCTATTTCTGACATCTTGGAAGGAAAAGAGTCCATTTATTAGATTAATTATATAACTTCAAAATTCAAAACAAATAAAACACACAGTCATTTCTGCATCATTTACCAAAATTTCAAATGTAAGCATGGATGTACACACATATACATACATAGATGTGTGTGTGTATATATGCACTAAGGAGTTTCCGTTTGCTTTTGTTTCATTACCATGTACAACTGCATATTCAGTCATCCTTTTGTATCTATGGGAGGCTGGTTCCAAGGCCTCCTCCCTCCCTGGATCCTGAATTCCATTAACCATCACGATCCTTATATACACAGGCATATTATTTCATTGTAAACTGTGCATACCTCTGTATAATTTGAATCATCTTTAGATTATGTATAATACCCACTAGAATATAAGTGTTATGTAAATAGTTCTTATTGTGTATTGTTTGGAGAATCATGACAAGATACAAAGCACACGCTCAATGCAGATACAGGTCTTGTACTGAATACTTGCTATCTATAATCAATTGTACCTGAGGAAGGTAATCTGCAGGTACAGAGGACCAAGTTTATCTACGGAAGATTAGTTTTATACAAAATACTGCAGCAATTGAATTCTAATTGAATTATAAATTCACTTCAAATGTAAATATTTATTCTAAAATAAATGTTTTAAAGTTTTTATACTCCGGCACATAGAGATTTTATTTTAGACTTCTGAAGTACCTAATTTCTGATACTAGCGTATAATTTACAAAAGAATGAAATTTTACTTTTATTGTGCAGTTGGCCCTATTTTACATATGTGTGAGTTAGGAGCGTTAAAAATGGTTCTAAAGTGGCCTAAAATATTTCTTAAATTCCTACATTTGAATCTTATAAATATGATCACATTTTGACATTCTTTCATTAATAAAGTCATGAATGTAATGTATCATCGTCTCTACTACAGATTAACTTTGGTGGAAATGCAGAAGGGAACCTGTGCTGTCTATGGCTCCAGCTTTAAGGGATACACAGAAAATTGTTCAGCTCCAAACACATACATCTGCATGCAGAGGGTCATGTAAGGAATGTATCAGCCATCTCTACAGCAACGAGGGAAAAAGAAGGGATTACACCAGGAGAAGCTACTCCATCTTGGACTGAAATAAACAAAAAATAATACAAACACACAAATAACAGGCCTAGGACCCTCCTCCCCAAGAAACAAACCACAGTGCTATTAGGTGAGCATAACAAGTTCGGCAAGACAAGAGACGCTTAACACCGAGCTTGATCGTCAAGGCCGCCATTCCCAGCATACTCCAGACTGCCCAGTATGTGGGAAAGGGGACAAAGAGGAGCCTTTATTTCAAGATGGGACCAACAACTGGGGAGTTGTGAGAGAGCGAGAGGGGCGGCCCCATAGTGCACTGGGGGTACAGCCTCTAGTACTGCAGAAAACTGCCGGCTAGTTGGGGCCACAGCAACAAGCCTCAAATCAAGGTAGTAAGTGCTGTGCCCAACACTGTTTCCACTCGAGTCGTTCAGGAAAGCAGGGTTGCTGTCCTGGAAGGAAAAGTTACACCAAGAAGGATTATATTTTAATCTTGAAGGTCTCATGGAGTTTACCTTGCTAGTTTTTCTGCCTTCTTGGAGCTCACCACCTTTTTTCTCCTCTTTGTTGGGATGGGAATGTCTGCTGAAGGCCTGACCCAGCGTGGTATTTTGAAAGCACATGGCTTATTTTATTTTACAAATCACAGCTGGAAAAGAATTTTGCCTGTCTCACCCACATCTGACTTGAGCAATATTTATATGAAAGCTTGGACTTTGGATTTGAAAGGTGATGCAGGAAGGCAATGAGACTTTGTTAGGATGTTCTGGTTTTGTTAGGATGTTTTGTTAGTGTTCTGCATGTGAGAAGATTAATTTCATGGATATAATATTATATACTGAATATTTCTGTACTTTGAAAATTCATATTTGAAGCCCTAGTTCCGAGCAATATTATAATACTAGGAGACTACACATTGAAACATAATGTTTTAAGTCATGAGGGTGAAGACCTCGGTAGTGGGATTGTCTCTTCAAAGTGCTGTTAGGGACCTCTTTACCTGCTCTGTGCCACAAAGGAACACAGACGAATTCTAGTCTAAAACTTACAAAATGAACTTCACCAAAATCCAACCAATGTTGGTACTCTAATCTTAGATTTATGAGAAATATGTTTCTGTTGTTTATAACTTAGTCTGTGGTATTTTAAATGTATTGCAAATAAGCTAAAAATGGAGGGGGAAGATAGTCAGAAATTAGGTCTTATTAAAAAATAAAGGAAAATGTTTCATAATTTTGTTGTATAATATATTACAACTTGGGGAAAACATTGCTAAACCAACAAGTAGGTAAAAAAAACTATAAATATCACTTGTAGTTAAAACTGGGACTCACAAAAGAAAATTAACCATAGAACACTGGCTTTCCCCTTTGAGTCAGAAGAAGGGTTTAGGCTTAAAATTGTATAATACATAAAATAATAAATAGATATCCACCTAATATAAATTTATATCCTCTAGTAATTTTTGCCTATCCTGAGGTTAATACTTGATAGTGCCATGAATTTGAGGAGCCTTGCATTCTGTTTTGAAGGTTGTCATGGAGCACAAAAACTTGAGATTTAGCTTAGAGACCATGTAACCTGAAGGGTGAGATAGAAGGATTTCCCCAAAGATTATAAGGTTGTACAATGAGTAACAAATATGACCTATGTTTTAGAAAATAATAACAAGTGCTGATCTTCACCCAATGAGTTGAATGGAAAATACAAACCTCCATGAAGGATTTGTAGTTGTGACATAGCTTTTTTATTTATGTTTACAGTCCAAAGTCTGGCTCACAGTATTTCAGTCAAAAACCAATTTGAAAAAGTTCAAGATATATATTATCATCAACACTTATTTTTAAGGAAAATTTCTTTAACTCATTTCTTAAGGATTACTGATAAGTGGCCTAAACAGTAAAACAGAAATTGCAAAACATAAAATAAGAGAGAGAGAGAGAGAGAGAGAGAGAGAGAGAGAAAGAGAAGAGGCAGTTGGAGAAAAATGCCAGTAGTTTTAACATTCATGAGTTGTGAGTAACAGGTTCACAAATTGGAAAGAGTCCCACAATTGTTGGATAGAAGGAATTTCAGAAGAGTATAAATGTTGAATGATTGTTGGTTTTCTTCAAAAGTTCAGATTGACTGGGCACAGTGGGACATGTCTTTAATCCAGCACTTGGGAGGTAGAGGCAAGCAGATCTCTGTGAGATCGAGACCAGCCTGGTCTACATAGAGAGTTCCAAGCTAGCTGAGGCTACAGAGAGACCTTGTCTTAAGAGATCAAAACAAAACAAAGAAGAACCTAGTGAACTGTATAAAACACAATTGTACCTTTGCCATCTCTTCCTGAACATTCAAAGAAATCTTGAATTTAAGACAATAGAATGGCATTCTTTACAAAGAAAGAAGCTGCTTGAAAAAGTATTGGCAGCTTTCTCCCTGCTGTTGTGAGCAGTGTGGTCAAACAGAACACTTTCAAACTGTATGAAGAAAAACATTAGAATATATTTAAATACTTTTCATCAGTGAAAATTCATATCCAATACAGTCATTTGCTAACCCTACCATTTGAGCTTTTACATTTTGGACTATATGTGGCAGAATGCAAGAGACCCAGTGGGGGGATAGGGGAGCATCCCCTATCTAATACTAAATTTAGGATTAGATTTACTTTGCATTAATAATCCTCTTCACAGAAAGCATTTGAGAATTTAAGACATAAAATTTAAATCAGTCCCAGGACTTGAATGTAGCTCAGGGGTGGAGTACTTGTCTAAAATATGCAAGGTCCTGAGTTTAAACTGCCACGTAAAAGTGCAATGGTGGCATTGAGCACAAGATCTGTGACAACTCAATTAAATAAGGTCCCAGAGGGTAGGAGAAAAATGGGTGGCAGGCCAGGCCCTACCTACATTGAGAACTGTTCTAGTCCGATTGCTACTGGAAGAGAGAGAATATGCCTTACTTGCAATCTCTAGATGGGCTGACCAGTGGGTCACTTGCACTGAAGAACATCTAGGTACAAATGCTTGACTGGATAGGACTTGGCATGTGTGGCAGAATGCAGGAGGCCCAGCGAGGGGATAGGGGAGCACGGGTGGGAGAGGGTGTCTGGATTTGATTAAGAACTGTTGTATGAAATTACAAAAACTCAATAAAGCATTTTAGGAAACACACACACACACACACACACACACACACACACACACATATACACACATGGTAGCTCAGCTAGGGAAAACGTGTAATCTCAGCCTCTCAAATCAAGGCAAGAGAATCACTTGGGCCCAATAGTTCAAGGCAACACTGGCAATATACTGAGATCCCATTTCAATAAAAAGTCAAGAGAATGTTCTTCGTGTTCAATTATTTTTTCAATTTTTTAAGGTACACTTACACATTTATAAAAAGGAAAAAAATAGATTTAAAATTAGGAAAGACATACACAAAATCATAAATAAATATCCACTAAACATAAGTCTATATCATATAGTAACTTTTACTTACCCTGAGGTCAACATTTAATACTGCCATTGTTTTGAGTATATAACAAATATACAGACATAAGAC